ACTGGAAATATCATAACATTTTTCAAAATAGCGATCAAGCCACTTAACTTACAAGTGCTCTAGGGGCGTCAGACAGCGAACACCATTGCGTGCGTGCAGGACCAACTGAATAACAGCTGATAAGATACCATAAGGGGCCTTATAAAGGCAAAGTCAGCAAATTCATAACGCGCGTCACAGCAAAGCTAGAGCGTTGGCTCCAAGAAGTAAGATAGGGGCAGGATGGGAACATTATTGGTGGGTGGCAGGACGTGATAACAGCTGATAAGATACCATAAAGAGCCTTAGGAAAGAGGGGTCAACCAACTCCATTTAGGCGCGGCGTCATAGCAGCGACGGAACGGTTGGTCCGCAAGGAAGAATGGACCAGGGGACAGGATGCAGTAACATTATTAGTGGTGCGCGGGACGTTGATAATAGCTGGAGCATACCGCTATAGATCTCTTAAAGAGGGATCACCAGTTTCTAAGGGTTGCCTTCGGGAGAATCTGTAGAACGTTGGTTCCGAACGTAAAGAATGGGGGGGGGGACAGGATGGGAACATTGTTGGTGGGTGGCAGGAATTGATAACAGCTGATAACATATCATAAAGCCCTAGAAAGGGACTAAATTCAAGTGCGCCGCAGCGACGGTAGGTACGGTTTGACTGCAAGCGGATTGCAAGTAGGAGGTTTAGGATGGGAAACGAAGGGTCAGCAGAGCAGCCTCACAATACTCTTATGGGCAAATACTTAGTGAGCCAAATGTTTCTATTCCTCAGCGATAGTCGAAATTGATTCGACCGCTAAACGCTCGAGTTTCACCCAAAAGCAAAAGCCTAAAGATGTTTTCCAGTGAGGAATGATAAGAACCACCAGCAAAGGGATACGTGAAAGCTGCTCTACGGAAACGCTAGGCATATGAGGGTGCCTTTCACTAAGATCCGATTACCGAAAACATGCTTTCTTTCAATTTCACCGCTAAGCTCTTTTTCTACTTCCAACAAATGTTGGGTGTTTTTATAAATGTGATAAGCACTAGACATTGGCAAATGCTTATCAAAGGTGAAATATGATGAAATGGGCCGCCGTTTGAAACATGGGAATTAGGCCAGGTGTTATAGTGCGTACTTGCACGAAAATCCTGTCAGTGATCAATACAATAGGTTTGATCATCAGTAGTGCGCGTCAGCCAAACTGGTGAAGTAATAGCGCTGGAAGTCGTGCGCGCTCGTACATTTTTCAGGTAATGTGAAATCATACAACAATGGAGAGTAGTAACAACCAGCTTTAGTATTAATCTACAAACACTTCTCTTTCTCATAGCACTTGGTATATGACTTACCAGTCGCGATCGCCCGGGCCTAAGCGAGCTCTCCTCCTTCTTGGAAGCTTCGCCGGGCTCAAGCAACTGCTTTAGAGCCTCACTTCTTAACTCGTGAAAGAAAGGAACAAAGTAAGGCATAAGCAGGGCGATACTACTGTCTTAGGCATTTATGATGCTCTCATGGTGCCTAACCGGTGTCTTCTAATCAAATAAATGTAGGAACGCGCTTGATCGCAGGGCACTTTCATAATGAAAAGTTCAAAATCTGGTCATGGATAATCGATTACTCTCCTCCCCATCTCATGACAGCCATGGATGCTTCGGTCTCCGCAGTCGCTGCGTGCTCCTGTTCAGGCGAGCGTCGGTCGCGCCAATATGGTACCCCTTCATCTCACCTATCCCCAAACTAACCTCAGCTATTCCCCGCTCAGCCACCCTACAGGTCACACTCAGCTGCTACGCGAATAGCCCGTGCAATGGTTCTGAGTGCACTAAATGGTTGTGTTATGTTGTGGAGGTGTTATGACTATCAAAACGCTACCACAATTTGATAATGCAACATTAATCGGTTCAGTTCCGATTGCGGTCCTCCGTTCGATCCATTTTTCTCCCCATCTTGTCGCAACCGTAGACGCCTTACCGCCGCAGGGGCTATGTGCTCCTAATCGCGAAATCGCCGTTCTCATCTGGTATCCCCTCACCACATCATATCCCACTGACCCTATTTAACCGGCACCCACCCCCGCACGTGGTATGCAGCCGCCATGCAACATAGGGACACTACGCCGCCACTGTTCTTACCACCGCCTTGCTCGTGCTCACGTCCAGCTCCCAAGCGAGCAGCTCCTGCAGTAGCACAGAGTATATCACAGTGGTTGGCCCCAGTTTGCCCGATTCAATCCATATGCCTCCTTCCCCTGCATGGGCAGCAGAGTACGCGCAAGGGAGTGAGGATGGGAGAAGGGGGTCACTCGATACTAACTCCCACCTTCCTCACCTCACCCCATTCCGTACTCGCCACTCCACCCCCCCCACCTTGCCCCTTGCACGCGCTTACGTCCAACTGCCACGCGAGCAACCCGTGCAATGGCTCGGAGTGTAGTGGTTTTCTTATATAGTGGAGAGTGTTATCACAACCAAAACAACTTCTTAGTTCGTTACGGTAACATAGATTGGCTTGCAGTTTTGTTAGCGGTTGTTTCCTCATCCCTTGGTGCGCGTTTCTACTGAAACGCGCGCTACGCACCCCTCACTGTACCCCCTCCCCGCGACCCTCCCCTCTGCCTCCCTCCCATACACGTGCTCAGCTCCGGCTGAGCACGTGCAGGAGAGGGAGGCAGGGCGACCCGGTACCCCCACCCTGCCCCCGCACGAGCACATGTCAGCTGCCACGCCACAGCTCGTGCAATGGCTCGGAGTGTACCGAATGGTTGTCTTATATAGCGGAGGCTGTTATCACAATCAAATCATTGGACTGCTACATCCTCCCAGTCGGTTACCGGTTTGCCTAGCGGTCGTTTTCGCCTCCAGCGAACTCGAACCCGTGAAGTATTTTGCGGACGGACAGACAAACATACATACATACATACATACATACTACAAACCTACATACAAACATACAAACCGACACACAAAGTTACTGGTTTATAGAATGAAAGGATGCGCTGGCGTGGCCAGCGACGCCGCTCTCACGAGACGAGTTGTCCTGCCTGGCAATTTCGAGTCGTTGTGATGATCACAACGGGGGGGGTTGCTACTTGGTTGTTCTTTGGAGAGGGATTGCGACCTCCCCCCCCCCTGCCTCGAACAGCAGAATTTGGGGGAAAAACCTGGAAATTTTTCGGGAGGAAAAACTGGAGCAAAATCTGAGAAATTTTGCTGTTTCACATTGGTATACCCCCTCCCCCGCTCGACGAAAACTGGAAATCTTTTGGGAAAAATGGAACAAGTGGTAGGAAGTTGGGAAAATCTAGGAAAGTGGTAGGTAGCATGGGAGGGGGGGTCGTATTTGAGGATGCAATTAGAGGGGGTATTTTCAGGAAATGATCACAACGTGATGGCGTGCCCTGCCGATATCATCAGCACGGAATTTTGCCTACGCTTAATTTTACATGAGATTCAATACTTCAATCAACGAAATGACGCACATCTATAAGCTGCCGTGCACCGTCGCGCGATGTGCCGCGAGCGGCGACGCACTAGGTTACGATTTTCTTGTCCCTTTCCCGCTATATCGTTGTCTGACATGGACCTATTGGGCTTCATGGGTCGAACACCTAACAATAAGCCTCTTGGGCCACTGACCAGTTTCCACGTTTTGGATGCAGTACGGCCTCTGCGACCGCGCGCATGCATGGTCAGATTATATCATGCATACCAATTACCCTCGCGCGGTCCTGGGAATCCGGGTAGAATCCCACCCAGGCCAACCAAGCCTTCTGCCGTTCGAGGACGGTAATTGGTACCAGATTCGTCTGGGAGGATAAAACACTGACTTGTACATCGGCTGGCCACCGCAAGTCATTGTATAGGCCACATCGCATTCAATAAGCCACTACGATTCTGAATGGAAGTAGAATGCGTGCCGCATCCCACAAAGGGATTGATTAACGGCGAAGACTTTATCCTCTATCCTTTCATCCAGAGGGAGAGGAAGTGAATGCGTTCTTCATTTGAAGGAGGCGGCGGCCATCGCCAAGATATGGACAATACTCACGAGATGTTCTAAGGCTGCGTTTATACTTTGCGGCAGCGTAGCGTAGCGCTTCCAGCGTACGCCAGCGGCAGTGTCGGGGAAAGGATCCCAGCGTCACCAGCGATCTAGCGTTCCCAGCGTTCCGCTAGCGCTTGCAGCGACGGGGCTAGACAGGGGCTAGAGAGTATTGAAAGTAGGAGAGTACAAAATACTCTCCTACCTTCAATCTCTAGCCCCTCTCTAGCCCCGTCGCTGCAAGCGCTGGGAAAACGCTGGAGAAACGCTGGTGAAGCTAGATCGATAGCTATGCTTCCCGTGCCCTCGCTACGCCAGCGTGCGCCAGCGTGCCGCTAGCGTACGCTGGTGACGCTGGGAACGCTAGATCGATATCTATCCTCTTCCCCGACACTGCCGCTGGCGTACGCTGGAAGCGCTACGCTACGCTGCCGCAAAGTATAAACGCAGCCTAACCTTACTTCGCGCATTGCATTGAGTTTCATGTGGTATCGGAGAGAAAGCCGACATCCTATCTAAAGTTCCTGATAGGTCCTTTTATATCTGACGCAAATATTTCGCCGTACTTGGAAATAATTTGGCAAAAAATTGTTGATCACGCGTGGAGATATTGATAAATGTTCCGATTCTTCGCTACAGATAACACTCATTATGATTTGATGTGCAGTCACGGTCGTTTCGGCCTTGAGGCGTGTCAGGAGGGTGGTTTTGGCGGGGATCCAGCCCGCTTTCCACCATTGTTGTCGCTTGCTCGCTTCAGCATTCGGTGGAGAAGGGGCTGCCGCGCCAAACTCATCCACCCCCGACCCACCCCAGCATCCGCAGCGAACAAGAATGAAATAATGCTTTATTGTTGTCGCCCTATTACACGTTTATTGCCACATTAAAACTGAGATAAACATGTCGAGCATTAATAGTCACAAGTGTAGTTGTAGACGAATTTCATGTCAGAGATCAGTGTGTCATCTGGACAATTGGACATCGATTAGGCATAAGATATCGATTTTACTTTGGTCTGAAACCATGCAGTACTCACAGGAGAACGAGCTTACTTGATTCTTCTTGAAGACAATAAATCTCCACTAAGCTTCTCGCCCATCTGATTATCGTAGAATGTGTGCGGATTAATGTTTCATGTGGCTGGTATCGGCGCGGCGCTAGCCAGTTTTCCACGAACTGCGGTCGTCAAACCCAGTCCCTTCTGACATGCACCAGCGCAACCAGAGCAATCTAGCAGAGCCATTTGAGGTGAAAAGTTCAATACTTTCAGGACTATCTCAGTTATGCAGTCAAATGGACACCATTTTGACTAAATGAGTAGTTCTTCTGAGGAAAGCCGGTCAGGCGGCAAGCTGCGCTATTCACTCCGAGCAAAGTCCGGGACCGAATCGTGGGTTAACTTCCGCTAACAGAAACCTACATTCTGTTGAACCTCACAGGAACCCCGGCATCCTCCGGATTCTCAGGATGTCTGGAGGCGCAAGGCATGAACGCAGCCTATAGACAAGGAGCCCATGTCGCATTCTGGAGTATCTGATCCCTTTCTCGCCTCCGACCGTCCCCAGGGCGTCCTGACCTCCCCTTTCAGCAAGGTTATTCAGCGCTTGCAGAGATTAGGGTAACAACTTGAGCCGTATGCACTCGGTAAGGTATACTGTAAACCACATCCCTTGGGAATTCCCACTGAATTTACTTTCACATGCTCATTTTTTTAAAAGAAATGTTTGGGCGCTAAGAGGGCAGCCTACTATTGTGGCTTGGTTATGTCATTGTACCGGCGCAGTTTGGCGACGGGGGGGGGCATTTTGCTTCCATCGATGTGTCGACCCATCTAGATAGCCTTTTCTTGAGTTGACACGTTTTACCATGGTGGCTAGACGAGCTTGCTCCAGCTTCACAAGAGTTCACAGGTTTCACCAGAGTGAGACTTGTAAACCGGAAGTAGTGAAGCAGTGAAAGTGCAAAATGCCCCCCCCTCGCCGAACTGCGCCCGTCATGCCATCTAAATAATAGGGTCCAGCGATGCTGGCAAAAGGTGTAGACAAGCAGACATGAAGCGGTTTTGCTTCGCTGGAGATTGTCAATAGCAACAAGTTGGAAAACGGACCACTGATTTTTGTGTTGTGATGCTCTTTTTTCTGTTGGCTTGGACAGGTGACCTCTTTTTCCTTCTAGCTGTCTCCTGAGAATCGCTGTCACTCGATCCAGTATTTCTGTTGTCCGATGAGAGGTCATCCTTAAATGAAATAAATTTCCATGCAAAAAGGTTAACGCAGTAATTTCCATAGAACTGAGAAAAAAAGAAGATAAACAATTTCTGTTCGGCTTGACAAGCTTGTCAGGAGAAGGTGGCTATGGGGGGAGGCAGTGCGACTGTTCTTTCCTTGACATTTCGCAGTCTTGACACGTTCTTCCGAAGCGTTAGGAACGTCAAATTTATATCTACAACGTTCTCATTCGATTTCCTGCACGAAATATGCAGCGAATTTCTTCAAAAAATATCCCACATACTATCTCGCTGAGAGAACACAGACAAACAGACATGACGCGACATAGCCGCTTTGCAGCTTGTTTTCTGCTAACTACGAAAAATTCCAGTCCATATACGACCCCTACCCTCTCGCGACCAAATGCGTCCTCATTTGGGTGAACAACCTTGGGCACCTGAGTATAGCTTATATTCTCCAGGACTTACGTCATCTGATGGCATCTTTTCTTTGCTGGTTCTCCCAATCCAGTCCAGTTTCTTTTCCATATCGATATTGTTCTCTTTCGCAATTGATCGTAACGAGTGAGACATATACCTAAAGGCATATTCTACGTTTGTCGTATGGGTGGGACCGGGTCTAACTTTTAATTGGTCAACGCGCTTTTTTTCTACACAAATGCGCGTCAATGAGGAGGTCAAAGTATTGGGCCTGACTCCGCCCATACAACGAGAGTGGGATTGCCTCAAACACTCTGACCTGAGGACAAAACGGATATTTGGGAAGATCGAGCACACTTACGTATAATCTGGCTCATCAGCGTATTTCAAATTGTTCACGTATTGAACTAGTCGTCTGAACTCCTTCGGCACAATACGGTAGCATTTTGGAACTGCAGTTATGTGGCATAAACGTTGTAAAAATAGATAAAATATGCAAATATTCAAATATTTAGGAACTAATTTGATCTGCTAGCAAGCCTCCTACTTCAGATGCTCTCCGAAGATACTCCGCGATAGTTAAGATAGGGCGGAACCGAGGGCCGACAATGCATAAAAATGGAATGAATGTTTTTGGCCATCTCATGTATAGGGATATATCCCTCCAATATCCCGCCCATTCGACGTTGCATTGGCAAGCCATGACTACCTTGTGGGGTCTCTAAAGTGCAGGTTTTTGCCATGCAATGGAGTCATTGCTTCCGACAAAGCGTTCTACATGGTGTTCTTCGCACGAACAGCAGCAACAACCGGCAACCAGGCGTTAAGCACGCATGCCGCACAATTAGGAATGCCGAAGACTCTACGCACCCAGTTCAGATCCTGTACTCCGGGCACACGTTACTGATGTTAATCCAGCAAGCAGCAAATCGTTCTGGACAAAAGGCAAGAGCCGAATGTTCAGATCGAATCTGCTTAGTCGCCATGGTGTCAGCCTCTTCCGTCACGACCACTTCATCAGCTCCTGTCACAACGACCGAACTCGCCACGAACTCCCTCTTATCGCGTCTGCCTAAGATCGTGTACCCCGACAACGGCTACATTTGAGGTGGACAATATCGCAACAAAGAATCGTCATCGCGGAGGACCTTGGCTAGTCGACGCTGCAAGGAAAGCCGGTCTATACGTCTCCAAACTCGACGCCGTCAGTATCTCGGTTTCACGGAGCAGCACAATCCTTCTGAACGAACATTCCTGAAAGAATTCGTACCTCAAATGCTGAACGGAACTGCTTTGGTCACAATACGGTCAGTTTTTACGTTTCGGTTTCGTACCTGAAGAAATCAACGGAATTAAGGAAGATATCTTTCGCGACTACATCGGGCTGGTCAATCACGACGACACAATGGCTGAATTCAGGACGGTTAACTTGATCCTGAGGCAGCATGAAATGCCTGGTATGGATATCCGGATTGGATCGCCTCCTACGAGCTGACATCACGTGGCACGTGCTTTCGCAAAAAAGGCAAGTGCAATCTGAAAGACGACGCTTTGAGGAGCGTACGCCGCTGGATACAACTATTTTCCCTCGGGGCCCAACGTTCGCCAGGATGCCGCACTACTCGAACGAGCCGCCCCACATCACGCCGACAATGGCGAATCTCACAATCAAAAGGGCAGTGTTCGCGAGCCGCCTTCACCCTGTTTTCGATGTGGAGCAAACCACTGGTCGAGGGAATGTCCTTTCCTGAAGAAGACGTGCTACGACTGCAAGACGACAGGTCCACAAGCGAGGATTCTGCAAGAACTTCACGAGGAAGAGGAAGCAGAAACCGCAACGGAAGCGAAGAACTGCCAAAAACGTCGACATCGCTTCAACTCATGTCAATATCGCTTTATCACGCATCTACCGCCCAGTGGACATCGATGGAAAGACAGTACGTTGGGGCAGATGTGACCTTGCAGAGCAAGGCAGACGTTCAGGTATTGGTAGTCCGAAGCTGCAACCTCCTAGACTGACACTGATGTCTGCCAACAACAAGCCGATCAACGTTCGAGGACGCTACGACTGCAACTTCGTCATGATGGTCACCGAGGACGAGGTACCTGCTACGTAGCCGACACGCCATCGCTATTGGGCCTGGACTGGATCGCCCAACACGAGCAGCTGTTCCGTCATCTCACAGAAGGATCAATCTTGCAACGTATCTTCAAGGACGCTCAGCACCTTGAATACTTCTCTTACTGCGCATCTGAGAAGGAAGTTCCCAGCAGTTTTCACACCAGAGCTAGGACGTTGCACCAAATCGACGCCAAACTCGTACTAAAGCCGGAAGCAAAGCCTGTATTCCTGAAGGCTCACCCTATCCTTTACGCCGATATGCCGAAGATTTCGGCCGAAATCGATCGTCTGGTGTCTATTCAAGTCCTGGCGCCCATCGACCACGTGACAATAAGGCTGCGTTCATACTTTGCGGCAGTGTCCACCACCGACCATCTACCAAGCGTCCATGAGCGTCAGCGGCTAGGAAAGTTAGATATCGATCTAGCGAACAGCAGCCTCTACCAGCGTCCACCAGCGTCCGCCAGCGACCATCAGCGTCTTGAGGGACTAGGAAAATATGGATATCGATCTAGCGTCTTCCCTGTCTATCAGCGACCACCAGCATCCACTAGTGACCAGGAGTACGGTATTGTGTAGCAGGGCGGTACGGTTGCACACACCACGATTTCACGACGCCTAATCCAGTTGTCTCCTCCTCCTACTTTCCCCATTACTTTTACCAGCAGTGGTACAGTCCCCACTTTGCCCAAACTCTTCCAGACGCTTGGTTGTGACCGCTGGCGGGGCGCAGATCGATTTCCATTCTTTCCTAGTCCCTCCAGACGCTGATGGTCGCCGGAAGACGCTGGTGGACTCTGGTAGGCATTGGTAGACGTTATGCCCGCTTGTTAGATCGATTATCTTACTTTCTGGGCTAGTCGCTCGACCTCAATCGAACGCTCGAACACGGGCTGATGCTTGTCGGTGGACGCTGCCGCACAGCACGAATACAGCCTAAGACAGGCGCAATGATTATGGGGCAGGAGAGAACGAGGTGGATGGAACGGAGGGGTCAGCATGGGGACAACAACTTCCCAAAATCTCACTTTCCGGGGTAAGGACCTTTCACAATTTCTGGGTACCATCTCCTTCCCATTTTGCATGCCATCCTGCCGAATTGCATTACTAATTCCCCAGAAATTTTAACAACTTTCTCACGAGACTGGCGTTGAGCGCGTTCTTTTAAAACGGCAAAGACTAATCCGGAAATTTCCCTCTCGATGGCTAAAACACGGACCCTATCATCCTTCACGAGAATAGGGTGTTCTATCTCCCCCCTTCCCCCAGCGATGTACTGGTATCGCAATCCGCTGCTTTATCGTCTTCAAAAGATCGTACACTTACGTCTACATGCGAAGAACTTTTCTTTGAAGCGTACAACCTGATTTCGATCGGGTAAGCGTTTCCATGTAATACCCTCTATCATAATACTTATCGAAATTCCGAAGATCTGTTTGAATTTGCAACATACAGTCTTCAGTACCTTTGGCTAGCCCTTTTGTCCCCCTTATGCCAAGATAGTACGTCTTCAGATGGTTTCTTCTTTGTTGACGTGGTTTTACGAGCTAGCAGCTCCTCACTCAGCTACTATTTTCCCTTCATCACTTCCTCACTAGTACTGCGTTATCGTAGTAAGTAGCGATTGTGAAGTGGGCGGGGACCACGCCCCTGAGGTGGAGAGCACCCTACGAGGGTTCCAGCACTCTTACTATGCCACTTCACTCGACCAGGGCGGCACATCCCAGCTGACTGTTCATCTGCGCTCATTATGGACCCTTACCACAAAATCGTGCACTGTGCCTTTAAAGACGAAATGATCCGTTCGCTCACCATGTAAATCCATGACTCCAAATCGTCTTTTCGACCTTGTTCTACGCATCTATGACATGCTCGCGATGCATATCGGATGGTACCGATGAACTTTACACGAAGACGTGGTGCTCTGAATACGTAAAATCGGCGCAGTTTGGCTTTGTGGGGGCATCCAATGGTAGTCAGAGAAACATGAACAGGCCACCTTGTAAAGACCCGTAAATGCCTGTGGCCAGTGTGGCACTTTTGTCCAAATAAGCAGCTTCACAACAATTTACAAGTCTCACCCTGATGAGATCGTAAACTGTTGTCAGCAAAAGTTCAAAATGCTCCTCCAAAGCCGAAGAGCGAGCGCGTAATCTCTTTTTCATTTTTGTTTTTTTTTGTTCATATCTGCAGTAAAGTAGCTAACACACTTCACCGTCTTCGTATCTCCAACTGTGAACTTCCTTGCGATACCAAAGTCAAGAACGTATACGGTCTTCTGTTGTTCACCCAATCCAACCGCGAAATTCTGTGGTTTTATATCCCTAGAACACAGGGATTAAGCTGTTGTCTCACACTTGAGAATCTGGTGCCATTCCAGTAAGATGGTTCACTTTGGTGCAAAAGTTGCAGATGGCTGTGGTCCCAACGTACAAGGGTTCTCCTGAGCCACGTTAGCTTACGAATTTCGTTTTCGTCTTTACGGGCAGCGTTCGGTATTGGAAGAGGAGAAGAACCACGAGTCAAGGGCGGTGTGTGGACTATCTTCCCACGCTTGAGGAGACGTTCCAGGACAGATGGACCGATCCCCCTGTTCCAAATGGTGCATTCCTTGTGTGCATGAGTACACTGTTATGGCGTGGCAAGTTTTTGCAAAAAGGTTCCCTTTTGAAATCTAAGGGTTTTTTCCAGGACGGGCAGTCGTTATCACTGAAATCAGTCGGGGTGTGTCAGCAGGCTAGGCTTCTCCCATCACTCACTGGCCCAAAGCGGCAAAGATCGT